TGTGTGTGTGTGTGTGTGTGTGTGTGTGTGGGTGTGTGTGTGTGTGTGTGTGTGTGTGTGTGTGTGTGTGTGTGTGTGTGTGTGTGTGTGTGTGTGTGTGTGTGTGAGTGTAAATATATATCATCATGCAGATGTATTATTGCAATAAAAAGCACAGATGCACAGAAAAAAAGAAACTTCCAACTCCTTGTCTGGTCTTGTTTTTATTAATAAGAACTTAAAAAAGTCAGAATACAAAAAAAGTCTCAATTCTGAAAAGAAATGCATTTAAAAAAAAAAAAAAGATTAATTATATTAAAAAAAATTCTAATGAATTCACAATTCAAAAAACAAAATTGAAAAAAGTGAGAATTCTGAAAATAAAAATCCCATAAAGTCCAAATTCAAAAAATACTGTCAGCGTTAGAAAAAAAGTAACAATTCTGATCAAAAACATTTGATAAAAAGTCCAAACGCAAAGAAAAATAAAATGTCTTTGAAAAAAGGCAGAATTATGAAAAAATACCAAGTTATTAGAAAAAGTAGGATTTCCGAAAAAAAGTCAAAAATATAAGAAAGTCAGATTTCTGAAAAAAAGTCAAAATATTTTTAAGAAAGTTGGAATAAAAAAAAGGCAAAATTGTAAAAAATATTGAATATTCCATGAAAAAAGTCATCACTCTGAAAGAAGAGCACATTCTATAAAAAGTCCAAATACAGAATGTGACCTCCTGTTCTTCAGCTCCTCTTCTGATGATTCACCTTTGAGCTGCTTCCTCCCTCTCTTCTTATTCCTCTTTTTCATCAAAGTTAATGTTTAACCAGAAGTTCCCTCAGGCAGGAACACAGAACAAAATGTTCTCCACTTTGATCAATCATTTCCCCGTCTACACGTGCACTGCAACTCAGCAAAAGGTGGGAGAAGAACTATGTTGATTTACTCAGGTGAAATAAATACTATAGAGTCAAATAAAGAGTCAAAGTTAGTGAAGTCATGTGAACAAGTGAAAGCCATCAAAATATACCAACTACTAAAAGTAAATATAGAATTGGTGGGAAGAACCCCTCTTCAATGGTCACACATGCAGAGCACACAGCACACAGT